ACATACATACATACATACATACATACATACATACATACATACATACATACATACATACATACATACATACATACATATATATATATATATATAATATATATATATATATATTATATATATATATATATTATATATATATATATAATATATATATATATATATTATATATATATATATTATATATATATATATACATATACATACATACATACATACATACATACATACATACATACATACATACATACATACATACATACATACATACATACATACATACATACATACATACATACATACATACATACATACATACATACATACATACATACATACATACATACATACATACATACATACATACATACATACATACATACATACATACATACATACATACATACATACATACATACATACATACATACATACATACATACATACATACATACATACATACATACATACATACATACATACATACATACATACATACCTTTCACTCTCTGCTATCCAAATATATTGAAATTATGCTAGAAAAGCCCTCCATTAACAAAAATCTTGGCTCTGATACCAAGGGGGGGCATGAAAGGGAAATTGCAGGGTAAAATATGAATAACATATAAAGAAACACCACAATGGAAGACAAGGAAGCCTTCATATATTCATGGCAGGGTAGAGTGTACGACTGACATGTGGGAATGCCCATTGCAGAGTCTGTCTGACAGTCTTCCCTGCTGTACATGCATGGAGGATTCTTTTTTATCCTCTCTCAAAGATAACAGATTCAACACAGCCCTTCAGGTTGTTTATAAACAAAAGAAAGGAAGTGTCAAATCACATATAAGGAGCCAAAACTGAATATTTTAGAAATAAATTAACTAATTGTAAGAAAGATTGCTAAAACATGGAAGATGGTTGAAACATGTGCCAGATATAAAACATCACAGAGATATTAGATTAATGAAAATTCCAGAATTAGTGTAAATGATTTCAATTGTTTCTATGTTAAAATTGAAAATTTTACATAAAAAACAAACAACAACTACCACATCTCACCAAATTAAAGGAACATCCCTTAAATCACCAATGACATTCGGATTCAAAATATATAAATAGGCAAGATTTGTTTGTACTTCCATTAATTCTTTGTATATCTTATACTTATATGCATAATAAAATCTTCTTCTTCTTCTTCTTCTTCTTCTTCTTCTTCTTCTTCCTCCTCTCCCCTTCCTCCTCTTCTTCTTCCTCTCCTCTTCCTCCTCCTCCTCTTCTTCCTCTCCTCTTCCTCCTCTTCTTCTTCTTCCTCTCCTCTTCCTCCTCCTCTTCTTCTCCCTCTCCTCTTCCTCCCCCTCTTCTTCTTCCTCTCCTCTTCCTCCCCCTCTTCTTCTTCCTCTCCTCTTCCACCTCCTTCTTCTTCCTCTCCTCTTCCTCCTCCTCCTCCTCTTCTTCTTCCTCTCCTCTTCCTCCTCTTCTTCTTCTTCCTCTCCTCTTCCTCCTCCTCTTCTTCTTCCTCTCCTCTTCCTCCCCCTCTTCTTCTTCCTCTCCTCTTCCTCCTCTTCTTCTTCTTCCTCTCCTCTTCCTCCTCCTCTTCTTCTTCCTCTCTTCCTCCTCTTCTTCTTCTTCCTCTCCTCTTCCTCCTCTTCTTTTTCTTCCTCCTCCTCCTCCTCCTCCTCCTCCTCCTCTTCCCCCCCCACCCTCTTCTCCTCCTCCTCTCCTCTTCCCCTCCTCCTCTCCCCTCTTCCCCTCCTCCTCTCCCCTCTTCCTCCTCTCCTCCCCTCCTCCTCTCCCCTCCTCTCCTCCTCTCCCCTCCTCTCCTCCCCTATTTGCCTCCCCTTCTCCTCTCCTCCCCTCCTCCTCTCCTCCTCTCCTCCCCTCCTCCTCTCCTCCTCTCCTCCTCTCCTCCCCTCCTCCTCTCCTCCTCTCTTCCTCTCTTCCTCTCCTCCTCTCCTCCCTTCCTCCTCCTCCTCCTCCTCCCCCCTCTTCCTCTTAATCACTATCTGCTTTTCAGTCTTCCTCTATTTGTTTCTCTCTCCTTCTTCCTGTCTGTCTATTTCCCTGTTTCTGCTTCTCTCCCTCTTTCCTTCTTTCCTATCAAGAGCTGTACAAAAGATTAGCATGAATCACAGTTATTTGTCAAATAATATATATTTTTTTAGATGCTCAATTATCTTTTTTTTATCACCTGTCTGGATGTTTATAGGTATTTTGTCTTCTTATCTTGAGTGTTTATTGATTTGCTGGTTGACTTTAACAGGTACTTCCTAGAACCGTTGCTGATGTTGGCACCATTTTGCAAGACTCCAATTAACATCACACTTAAAGGAGTAACCAATAATAAGGTGAGTTTTTTCATCTTTCGTATTGATTCTTTGGCTATATGTTTGTCCTTCTTGATAAGGGAGAGCTATTGTTATTGTTGTTGTCAGCTGCTGCCACTTCCTCCTTCTGCTGCTGCTCCTCCTCCTCCTTCTGCTGCTGCTGCTCCTCCTTTTTCTTCTTCTTCTCCTCCTCCTCCTCCTCCTCCTCCTCCTTCTCCTCTTCCTCCTTCTTCTCCTCCTCTTCCTCCTTCTCCTTCTCCTCCTCCTCTTCCTCCTTCTCCTCCTCCTCTTCCTCCTTCTCCTCCTCCTCTTCCTCCTTCTCCTCCTCCTCTTCCTCCTTCTCCTCCTCCTCCTCCTTCTCCTTCTCCTCCTCCTCTTCCTCTTCCTCCCTCTCCTCCTCCTCTTCCTCCTTCTCCTCCTCCTCCTCCTCCACCTCCTCCTCCTCCTCCTCCTCCCCCCCCCTCCTCCCCCTCCCCCTCTCCTCCCCCTCTCCTCCCCCTCCTCCTCCTCCTCCTCCTAATCCTAATCCTAATCCTCCTAACCCTAATCTTAACCCTAATCCTCCTCTTCCTCCTAATCCTCCTAATCCTAATCCTCCTAACCCTAATCTTAACCCTAATCCTCCTCCTAATCCTCCTCTTCCTCCTCCTCCTCCTAATCCTAATCCTAATCCTAATCCTCCTAACCCTAATCTTAACCCTAATCCTCCTCCTAATCCTCCTCTTCCTCCTTGTCACCATCACCACTACCATCATCACCACCTCCACCACATCATCATCATCATCATTATTATTTTCAACAAAAATTATGAGGTCGAATTTGAAAATATGTGACTTCTAGCTCATAAATCTGTTACATAGCTTAGATATGAAACTGTGGTAATAGTAATAACTACAAAAATAATGTTAGTGATAATGATTATCATAATGACATTTGAAAAATTATACTATTGATAAAAGCAATGATTCTGAACATTTTAGATAGACCCATCTGTAGACATGATCAGATTGTCGTTGCTGCCTGTCCTGGAGAAGTTCTTAGTGATAGATGAAGGCTTGAGTTTGAAGATGATAAAGCGAGGACTTCCTCCCAAAGGCGATGGTGTTGTTACATTTACTTGCCCGGTTAGGAGGACACTTAAAGCATTCCAGGTAAGAGTTGTTTCTTTCATGTTTTTTTTTTTTTTTCCTGTCTTATTGATTGTCTAGTTTGATGGATTGATTTTCATTGATTATATTTGGTAGTATTTATATCCGTAGATTTCATTATAGACTTGTAAAAATTGTATCCATTGATTTTTACACTTATCCTTTTCTCCTGATAATTTTCAAAAATTGTTTTTTCGACAGTGGGAAGAATGCGGAAAAGTAAAGCGCATCAGAGGCACTGTTTATACCAGCCGAGTTGCTCCAACTGTAGGCAACCGTATGTTAGACGCTGCCAAAAATGAATTCACCCAATTTCTCACTGATGTCTATTTCAACGTTGACAATGCCAAAGGAGTTTCGCCAGGTCTGTTTGTGGAAAGCATGAGTTTTGAAGTTTTTTTTAATTACATATTTTACCTTTTCTGTTTACCTTATATATTATACTAATTAGAAAAAAAAAGAATCAGAGAGAGGAAAAGCATCCCTTCCTGTGATTATTCCACAATAAAAAATGAGAAATCTTTTCTCTCCCTCAAATGTAACAGGGTATGGCCTCTGCTGCACAGCCAGAACTAACATGGGCACCATGTACTGTGCTGAGGCCATGTCACACCACCAGGGGGAGGGGCTGGAGGCAAGACTGCCCGAGGATGTGGGAAGAGAAGCTGCATGGAGGCTCATGGAAGAAATATTCCGAGGTGGATGTACAGACACACTTGGACAGCCCCTAGTCCTCCTGTTCATGGCACTGGCAGCAAAGGATATCTCCAAGTTTGTCTGTGGACCTCTCACTCCATACACGTAAGTCTGGGAGATGGAACACTGGATGCTGGGAACATTAACTGATTGTAGATAGGCCGTGTTTTTAGCCCACTGATCCCAGACTGAAAATTAACTGTCCAACACTTCTACCAGGGACTTGAGGAGCAATCTGCTTGATATTTGCTGCAAACAGCCAGGCTAGCCAGCTTGTCACAGGGAGCTTCAGCACAAGACCGAGTTATGACTTAGCTGTACCTGGCACAAAGCTAAAATAACTCATGATGGCCTTAGTCATTCCTGTCAGCATGGGGTGAAAACATGCCTGTAGGCAATTTGGAATAACTTGGGCATGTTTACTCCATGTAGTGTGTGACTCCATGCATATTCATTATTGATATTATTATTATTATTATCATCGCCATCATCATCTTCATCATCATCATTATCATTATCATTATCATTATTATCATGTATAAGCTGGAAGATAAACATACAGAACATTGTATAGAAAGAGATAGAGACAAGGACAGATAGAGATATACAGACACAGACACAGACACAGAGATAAAGATAAAGACAGAGACAAAGATAGAGATAGAGAGAGAGAAATAGATGCAATTGGTTGAGCTGTACCTCACACCCTGATTCTCCATAACTCGAGGTGTGTCTGGTCATTATATGGTGAAAAAAAAAATTTGTCAAAGGCAGAGCTGTATCTAACACAGTATAAGGAGACTGTTTACAAAAAGGGGCCAAAGAGTAATTT